TCCCTCTCCCTCTCCCCCCCTCTCTATCTCTCCCTCCCTCTCTCACCTCCTCAATGTCAGATTAAGTGAAACAGCTCCTTTACCAATCTGTGTCTCAAGTGGACCGAATGAATAAATCACATAAAACCACACCCACAACTCCCCCCACCCACCACACCTTTCAGCCCGACTTTGTTTCTCTTCATTGAATGAATGACGTCCTCAGGTACAGTCACACGACCACCCTCTCCAATGACAGGCTTCACACTCACAGTCTCCCATCCTATGGGAACCTTATAAGGAATTAATTATAATGAGTGGGTGGAAAAAAATTAAAAATAATCAAGGTGTGAAAAAATTATTTTAGGGAGTGGCAAACTTTGTGTGGGCAGGTGGGTTTGTGGATAATAATAAATAAGTACTTTGGCAGCTTTGAATATTTCCTTGACAGAATCTGATATTTCTGGTCCAATCCCGTCACCTTCTATAAGTGTTAGCGTTTTGGTCTAAAGGGAATAGTAAATAAAGGTAGTTAATGAGTTAACTACTCACTGGGCCCGTGCTTAAAGCTTTGCACAGGGCTGTTCCTGTATTCTTCCGCCATAGAGGGAGAGTAGGGGAAAGAAAAGACTGTCTTAGAAGAGAGGAAAAGGACATCACTTTTTGAAGCTTGGGTTTGGTGGGTGTGGCTTCTGCCTTCTGATTGAGGAATAAACGGAGATATTCAAACGTATCCTGAAATCACGTGTAGTGAAATGGATACTGGAGCAGAGCTCCTGGCCTATCTTAATTCTTCTGATTCTCACCTTTTTGAGTATTCTGAACTGGAGGAATGGCATGAAAATAGAGAAAGTCCAGCAATATCTTTAAAGGTAAGGGAACTATTGGGCCACTAAATTAGAGTTCACTTTTTATAATTTAGATCTACGTTATTATTATTATTATTTTCTTTCACTGCAGTTGTTAGTAAATGAGCTTATCAAAAAGGGTAAAATTAATATGAGGACAGTAACGAATGGCGATGAGTCTTGTGATTTGTATTGGCTTTGTCATCCACAAGAAAAGAAGGTAACTTGTTATAAGATTATTTTTAGAGCTATAAAATTAAATGCCAGTCATCATAACAAATTTAACATTATCATTGTCGTTGTAGATAAATTATTCACCATTGTAGTTCAGGACACAGTCACATACATTTAAATATACACTGCATGTAGCATGTACCATATAGGGGATATATTTCACGGGGATTTAATTTCGCTAATTTCATGGTTTTAAAAAATTTGTGAAAATTTTTACCTATGAAAATTGTTTTTTACTATACTAATAATGGTCAGTAGAAGAAAAACGCAAAAAATTTTCCTTGTGAATAGGCTGAAAGGTAATTTTCGTGAAATATTTTCCCCGGGAAATGTACCCCCTATACAATATATGCACATATTTAGTTTGGCCTGAGGTGCATTAGCAGTGGATTGGCAGTTCACTGAGCAATCGCGAATGTAAAAATCCATCATTTTTGTTTCATTCTGAGCACATGTGCTATTAAATTGCCAATATAAAATCTGCAAATTGCAATTTTTCAAATCAAACT